ATGAATATGAGGTTGATAGACTCAAAACTGTTTATGCTGCAATGTACTTATATTCAATACTGAAATGGTAATGATTTACAACCCCTTTTTCTGTTAGTATTCTTGATTTTTAAGAATTGTGATAGATAAGTGTTGGCTTAAACACCGTTACATTGTATGCTCAAATGCGAGAGCAACTATTTTGTGCAAATAATGTCATAACATGAGTATCTATCTAGTTCACTCCTCTAAACGCACCAAAATTTACGAGGATAAAATTGGGTAATGACCCTTTTGTCTTGCATAAGTGATTGTAAGTTGTATCTTAATCTGCAGTGACCTCCTTTAACAAACAGCAAATACAAACTTTCTGTTTAGCTGTACAGTGTAAACAGAAGAACAAAATAAAGTGATTATGCCACAACTAGTCGAGATATTGGTAGCAGAGACAATGACAATGTAAGAGCAATGGTGGCAATGCTGATAACAATGTAGATATTTTTTAGGGGACCAATCATAAATTTATGGAAAATATGCCTATCTATATTTTTTAAGAAACAAAACTGAAAAAAAAAAAAAAATCTTCTCTCCTGATGAAACATTGCTGTTAATTCATCTTGCTTGAGAATATTAAGTTTTCTGTGTTTTTTTTTTTTATCATCTCCTTTTCGTAACGAGAAATTCTGTCAACTATGTATTTTTGCACTCAATACTCTAATGCAAGTCTGAGATGTACGCGAATACACACAAATCAGGTGTATTGGTTAAATCGCTGATAATGGGATCCAAACTCAAGACTTGTGGATTCACAAGTTGACCCATTATTTGATCACCAAAGTGAGTTAAGAATGTGTAGCTTCCTTGAATCAATTCTTGGGTTTTGGAGAGGGAAATTTGGAACATCAAAGCCAGTTGTTCCCTATGTCATATTCAAAAGGGTAATGCACATCATGTCATTGGCTTAATCAGCCAGGCTATATGTTGATCTGTTGTTTGCCCCCAACTCACATTTCTGAAAATGTCGAACAAAGTTGAGGTCGTGGGACAATCATCTCATTAATGCCAACTAACTCATCTGTACTTTGTAGAACTATATGTCGGAAAAACGATCCCTGCCTGCGCACGTGAGAGTCTCAAGATCTCACTTAAATTAATAACTCCGTAACAATAGTATAGTATTTTAAGATTCAAGTGTTTTTAGAAATTTAGTCGATGTGAATTGAGTTTTTTCCGTAAGCGTTAGTTTTATTAAAATACTCTAACACAAGCTAATGATATGGAATATGTACTTATATTAGAATCATTAGAATTTGGGTTCATATACAGTTTAATATAAATTCGATCCGAAAGTTGTATTCCAAGAAAGTGAAAGAAGAGAAATAAGAGAGACAAAGATAATTGTATTAGATTCAAGTTGTCGCACACAGACATCGAGTATCTAGCTAGCCCGACAGAATGGATGGTCCCTAACCTTAGTTTTTTGAAATTTATTCAAGGAAGATGTAGAAATGCAATGAAAATGAGCTGTGAGATGTGTTACATGACACTGAAGTGGGCCCCAGTGCTGTTAGAAGAATGGTATACCATGAATTGTTAGCACAACTCTAAGATAGAACTAATTAACAGGGAACATCAGTCTTGAGATAGAACTAATTAGCAGACAACATCAGTCTAGTCGTACGAGACTCGATATAATGTATCGTGTAATGATATCGTTTTAGAATGTGCTAAGTCGTATACGACTTGATTGACTCGTATCAGTATCGACCGATACTTTGAACCATGCTTGTAACACAGTATACAACGACATTTGAGTTTTTTCCAATTTCCAATTTCCAATTTCCGAACCTTGAGTTGAAGAAATTTGGTCAAGTTTGAAGAAATACAAGAAACAGTCCATCGACGGCGAGTCTACCATTCCTTTGATTTTCATCTTTTTTATGTATTACGATGACGTGTTATATTTTATTCACGATAGGTAGGGGAGCAACATGACGAATTTCTTGTGATTTACAGGTGTAAAGCTTGTTTGAACCATTTCACAAGTGGACCTCCTTATTGAATGGCTTAGATTCATAGCCGGATGTATTGGACTCTCTCTCTCTCTCCTGTGAAACATAATAAGTAAAAAGAGATAGACATATACTCCATTCTGGTAGGACACTTTGGTTGGATACCACCCTTTTTTTTCTTTTTGCCATCTTTGCCTGACCATTTTTGTGCTACTTTTGGGTAGTCTAGTGTACGTAACTTCTTCCATTACAAGTCCGAGGGTTGTAATATGCATTCTTTGCTCATAGAGAGAGATTGATTCCATGATTCAAATTCATAGTACCCAAGTCATAATAAAACAATTTAACAGTGATGTCAAGTGCTACTCTCATCCAAGGGCAAGTGCAGTATCTAAGCCCATAAATGTTGGGGCCTAGTGCATCATACCATGGTTTGACATAGTGCATTCCTTCCCAATGGTCACTGCTAACTTTGATCAATCATAGAAAAGTAAGATAAAGTGAACAAAATATTATAAGTGCACAATAAGTTAGAACAACCTTAAAAGAAAATTACATAAAAGAAAACTACAATATAAAAAGTCTTTATATAGTAGGGCAAAAAGAAAATAATCAGACTAACCTAGGACAACATTAAAGTAAACAAATTGACTAAACTATCCCTAAGTCTAAATAACCCAACTACTCTAACATCTTCCCTCAAACTCATTATGTGGTAGCAGAATGCATCAAGAGTTTGCCAAGAAGAAAACGAAAGCAAGTGACAGAATGCGATTTTGTGAAGAAATCTGTTAGCTGCATACAGTCCTCCCTTTTTACGACATGTCCCAATCAGCTTGTTGGACTTTAGATCCTAAAAGACTTGAAGTAAATGAATGTACTGAAGGAGATACTGTAAGTGCACTAGGCTGATGGAGAGAGATTAACTTTTGCAACTGATCAGCAAGCATAGTTAGACTAGGTGCCTGTGAGGAGGACTCATCCGTTAGTGTTGCAACTGCTGACTAATTTGCTATCCCCTTTGCATTTTTGTTCATCAGTTTAGGGCATTGAGTCTTCCAGTGGCCATTCTCATGACAGAAGCTACACTCATCTAAAGCTACACGACCCCAATATTTAGAAGTCACCGTGGGAGGCACAACCAATACAGTCTAAGTAGGCAATGGAACAAGACTTTTCCCAAAAAGAGTATTAAGACGAACTTCTTCAGCCAGAAGCTCATTCACTACTGCATCCACTGAGGGAAGTGGATTACAATGAAGAATATAACCACAAAGTCCCTTGAAGTTATCCCTGAGGGCCATCAAAAATTACACCAACCTTTGCTCCTCTCTAAAAGTGCGATATATCATATAAGTACTCAGTTCAGCAGGTGCTAACTAATCCCAATACCCAGTCATAACTGAATAGAGCTCCTGAATGTTCTTATCACCTTTGACATACAGCTCGAATTTCATGCTCTAACTAATATCTCTTTGCCAAATTAGACTAAACAAATAGGGTAACTAAATAATCTCAAATCTCCTTAACTGTATTAAACTTAGTCAAATGAACATCAATGGTCTGATCAACTGAATTGTTAATCCAAGTGATGATTTTAGCGTTGTTGATTTCCCAAGTATTCTTTAAGTCAACATATTTCTCAACTTTAAGATCAGTTGGAGCTCACGAATCACCACTAACATATCTTCACATTTCCTTATCCAACAAGAAATTTTTCATAACATAAGCCCAATATACATAGTTCTCACCTTTTAATCTGACACTGATAGCCTGAAGAGAATCATAATTTTCACTAGTCATAATACCCAAATCAAGCAATCCAAAGCAAATATAAACAAACAAAATCTAACAACCCAACACCCTAATAGCTAATAAGGGCCCAACAGAAAATCAAAACTCAACAACTTTGCAAATCAAATACTCACTCAGCCGTTCATTCACAAAATCAGCCCCAAAGGCTCAAACCCACCAATCAGTAAGAAAGGAAACAAAAGTTTCCTGCGTATTCAGTGCGAAATAATGTAAATAAACCCAAACAATGTAACGTTATGTCAAATAGCAAGCCCAAACAAACAAATCCAACAAATCAACAATAGCCAAAATCAACAAACCCTAATAGTTAGGATTTCTTACCTTGCAAAGACTAGTTCAGCGAGAAAGACCCAACAACGAGAAGCACCAACAGAAGAAAAGAAGCAGTTAACGTCAAACAATGCAAAGTTCGTCATAAATTAACTCAACAATTTTGTAAATTAAATACTCATAACAGTCAAATTTGGCACTGTTCACAACGCGTGAACAGTAACTTCTGCACTGTTCACAGCCCTTAAAACTACAAAAAAAAAAATCAACAACCCTAATCCAAGAATAAATCGTCATAAATGATGTCAGCCCTAATCTAAGAATATATTCTTTCTCCAACTAAATTACTGTAGTGCTACAATATATTTTAAATCGAAACCATGCTTTGACACCATGTTAACTTTGATCAATCATAGAAAAATAAGAGAAAGAAGAACAGAATATTATTAAAACACAATAAACCAAAATAACCTCAAAAGGAAACTACAATATAAGAGGTCTTTATATAGTAGTACAAAAAAAAATAATCAGACCAAGTTAGAACAACATAAAAATAAACAAAATAACTAAACTACCCTTGACTCTAAATAACCTAACTACTCTAACAGTCACCACCGTTGCCGGACGGAGAGGATCAAAGCCTTTTCAGAGACCACCTCTTTAAGCGCAGAGCGACACCCAACAAGACCGCCCCCAAACCTTCTCATGGATCCTTTCATGACAACTTGGTAAAAAAGCCTGCTTTCTAAATGTCACAACCTTCATTGTGGAATATGCCTAGAAGCAAAACCTTCTAGCCATAGCCCGTAAAGCTATTGAAATGGCATAATTGGTAGCCATAGCAGTATTCACGGCTTTGGTTTTTGATGATGCCAATAACCTCATCAGTTAAAACATCCATAGCCATAGCGCTACAGCCCAAGTTCTCTACTACAAGCAAAATCATAATCATATTTCCCATTTCAGGACTTCTATTCTTTAACTTAGCCGGGTTAAAAATTCTGCAGCCCCTCTATACTCCAAATCTACCACATGTGCTGCAAGTAGACACAATAGGGCGCAAGTTACACGAGAATGTGGGATGGAATTAGGGCTAGTGAATACAATTACAGGCAAAAGAATGAGGCAATGAAGGGGCTGACATGGAACAAGCTTGATGAAAAGATGCAATAAAGGGAATGAAGTAGTGGCAAATGAAGGGTAGCCTAGTTCAGAGGTAAGCGTCTGGTAAGGGCAAGAGAACGAGTGAAATCAGTTTTAACTATCCTTCTTTGATTGAGGCCTACCCCGAATGAGGCCAGTAAATAACACCACTCCAAACATCATGCATAAAGCATTAGATACATACATTCACATTTCACAAGAACATTCAATCCGAACAATCCAATGTAGTGTTGCTTCTAATTTTCCAAAATAAGGAAATCTCAATATTCTTTCAACATACCTTTCTGGTACATGCAGATGGGAACAATTTGAAGGAACAGCGACCGGAAAAAGGGCATCATGAACTTCGACATACCTTTCAATATCTACAGCAACACAAGATGCAAAATACAAAACATGAACTCTAATTGATGGTCACATATCATATAATAATAGAAACGAAGATAACTGTAGAGAATTGATAAAAAAGAACTTGTCTTTACCATCAAATGAGCTACAAGTAGCATTGGAATTATAAATTAGTTCATGGAAGACACCACAATGTGGTGCCTGAGATACGAGACCTATATACATAATGTCACAAAGCAGATTCATAATCGGTTTGCCGTTCAAATGAAACACAGGTATACAAAGCACTATATACAAATCAGCACTGAATAATCATAAATAGACCATCCATCTGGTTGTAATTGTACTGCAATGGTGGAAAATCATGTAAGCAGTATGATTATGATTATGGTAAGGAGATCATCAAGCACAGGTTTTCTTTCGTCCTCCAATTGCTTTTGCTCTCCTAATCCACTGCTTTAAAGCTATAAAAGTTTATCAAGCACTGGTCTTCTTTCCTTCTATGCCGTGAGTCCACATCCGTTTAGCAAGAGTGCGTTTAGCAAGAGTGCGCTTCATTGCCTTCACTCCCAATGGGTTGTCCTTGCTCTGTCAAGTCAAAAAAGTTTAGTGACTAAACAAACTATAGCAAAAAAATCCATCTTTATGAAACTATACCAAATATTACAAAAAGTTTAGCTTGGAAATATGAATAACAAGGATTAATGTTTACCATTTGACAAGTCCCTGCATAAACATTGCACACGGGATACTCATGAGGGCAACAACTGTAATGGTCGTCACAGCATGTGGCACCATCAAGAGGGCAGCATCCCCAGGCAAAGCAATCACCATTGAATTCATAGACGCAGCAGCAAGTGCTGCTCTCTGAGCAAGAGTAATAATCATCACAAACACTGGGGGGCTTTACTGGAGATGGAGGAGATGGACCGGGATTGGGGGGGTTTTGACCTGTCTTGACAGGGTAAGAGGGCTCAATTGCAATTCCACATTTGCCAGTGTCAGTGTCATGCAAATTACGCTCCATCCTGAGATAGCCAGCTTCTCCCCAGTCTGGGCCCCATGAGTTCCTCACAATCCAGTAATCCTTACCATTTTCACTACCATATCCAACAGCAACGACACCATGGTCCAGCGCTGTACCACATTCACCTGTGAATACTCCCTGAGGACGTTGGAAAGGGAAAACAAACAATAGCTTAAGTAACAAAAATCAATATGATTTGCGATAATTTACATAGTTAGTACAATGTGTTCAAAAGGCAACCTTCAAAATGGTGGCAAAGAAAAAAAACAAGCTGACAATCACATGAAACAAATTGTTTAATCCACTAGTTGTGTATATTTTATAATATTACAAGTCATTCAACCAAAAAATTATTTCAATTTGTGTAAAGGTTGATATTATCCAAGTGAACTTAGACAAGTCATATTTTTACTTGATATCATCTAAATTCAATACCATCGTCTGTTTACATGAGTAATGATGATGACCAGAAAGAATAGAAAAATTTTTACCGATGAGTAGAACTGGAAAGCCCTGCCACCAGCTTCAATGGCAATACTGATGGGTTGATTTGCAACTGCCTTTTTCAATGCCTTCTCGCTATTTGGAGTGACATCTTCATAACCATCAATTGCAACAACCTTTGCATTTTTCTGCACAAGACACATGACGAAATAATATAAGATCCAAGAATAATGGCAGACAATGTTTTACTATCTCTATTTTTTGTTTTCATTTGGGTTTTGATATTTTTTTAATATACAAATGTTCCTTTAGATTAGGAATAATAAATACAAACCCTGTACTGGTCGCATCTGCCATCCCTGCCTTTATAGGGGTAGTCCTCTTCAGAGTCAATGCCACCATTGTCGATAATGAACTGAAAAGCATAGTCCATGAGGCCACCATTGCATCCTTCATTATAAGAAGTATCACAGTCCACCAACTCTTGCTCTGACAGAGGGATCATATCCCCAGTGACAATCTGGTTTATCCCTTCCACAGCACCAATTGTTGAAAAAGCCCAACAACTCCCTGCATTTCCATGAAACCAATAACATATTATTAAATCTAAAAAACAAAGTAATAATTAAAGTTTAAACCAAACCAAAAGTCAAACAAGAAAGTTGCTTAGATTCCTCTTTTCTTTATTTTTTATCAATTCAAAAGATGATTAAGAGTTTGCTTAATGGATTAAACTTTTAGACACTTACAATTATGAGAAATGCCATGCTTACCAAATATTTTTACCAAATTTCCATTCAAAATCATTTGGCACAATTTTCAACTAGAAAGTACGAATACTCTCCAAGGGGTGCCGCAACAGTGTGGAACATGTGTGGAACAGGGTCAGGACACTTCTAGGACATGGCCCCATGGGCAGAACACGTTCAAGATACAGCCAGTAACTTTTTTTAATAAAAAATAACTGCTGACTATGAAAAAAGGTGCTATTTTTATTTTTTTTTAATAAATTTTTTATTATGTGACTAATATACTATGAATGTCAATAAATGTAATAATTTTTTATGAACATCATTGATATTTATTTTGATCTATTTTAATTTTAATTAAAAAATTAATGTTCACTATTATTTTAATAACCATATCTTATCGTACCCATTTCCTATATTTTTTTAACTTGTTACCCCCATGTCTGTATCCGTTCTTGTTAAGTTTTCGACATCATAAGTACCCATTTCCTATATTTTTTAATTTGTTACCCCCATGTCTGTATCTGTTCTTGTTAAGTTTTCGACATCAAAAAAATAAGTCTTTTTATTTGGGACAAAAAAATTGATAAAAAAATTTCGTAAAAATATATGTAATAATGGCGTCGGGCCAAATCCAGTGAAAAGGCCAATCCATGGTTCATAACCCCTGCAGCTGTGGGGTCAACATTAAGGTGAGTTCATGCATGACGTATCATAACATGTGGGGGCCATCAGTGGAATTTGAATAACGTCACGAAAACTTGCTGAGCAGAGGATCAATGAATCTTCACATAAAACAAGTGAGATCCGTATCACAGCCCAGCCCATAGAATCCGTGGCCTAACAATTGGGTAAACTAGAACAAGATTTTCTCCAATACACAAGGGGACAGTATCTAAATTCTGCGGTTACAACAAATGTGCATTCGTCAGGCAGAGAAGTATGGTAGTGTCAAAAAGTCTTGTTTGGTTACAAGATTAATCTTGGACAAGGAGATATGTGGACAACTGGGCTAGAAAATTGACGAAAACAAACATCCGTTAGCAAGCATTGGACGACGGGGTATAGACACAAAACAATTTTTAATAGCCTTGACACCCCTCAATTTCTGACTAATTCCAGGCCCCTCCCCCTTTTTTTCAGACAACAAAGATTTAGCCACTTAAATAATTGTAACTTTCCCAAAAATTATAAAATTATCTACTTGAATACGTCCTCTAATTAAAAGAAATTAGCATACCTTTTAGAAGCTTATTCCGATTTTGATAGGGTAATGAGTGCAGTGGGTTAGCTTGGTCCTAATCTAAAGACCTAATAACAAGGACTTTTCCACAAGGTTTGGTTTATCAAGTCCTTACCAAACTATTTTTTTGGTACCATATTTTTATTTTTTAAATAATAATTTTTTAAAAAATAAAGTGTATTTATTTATTTTTCAATGAATGATTGCAATTAAAATGGATGATTAATATACTGGCATGGGTACGGCAGCCTTACCCCACTAAGTTATCTAATTCCAGTGTTGAACAACAAGATCAAGTAGTCGTTATCAGAGAGATCTACGGCTAATAAAATTCGCATAACTCCTCACAAAAATGATAAATATTTTTAGAATTTTTATTTTTTTCTTCCGGATTAACTTAAACACACATCTAACCAATCCCTTACCCGAACCGGTGAAAACAAGACATCCACGTCGCGTCGGAATAGGATATTTATAAGGATAATCCCTCGTGGGATGACCCATAAGAACAACAAAGAGTCAAACTCTACGTTCCTTGAACTATCCTTAACATTACCCAAAAAAATATTTCGTATGGACGAAATTGACCTTAACAGCATGTAAGAGAAAATTATTGGAAGGGCAATATAGTCAAAATAAAAATATAGGATGAAAAGCTCACCACAGCTTCCTTGATCTTTGACCGGCCCGACGGCACCTTTGGTTCTCCAATCGACGGAATCCGGTAAGCTCTCACCGACTTTGAGAGTGTACCGATCGCTTATCACCTTCGTCCTCGACAAGATCCGTTTGGTACGGGGCTTGACTCCCAAGTACACGGACCGGTACTCGTCGTTAGTCAGATCGGCAAACCGGTTCAGACCGAGAGTATACGTCGCTTTCTCGCCGGCGTTATTGTGGTTATCGATGAATCGGAGGTTGTCTTTAAAGATCTGAAACCTCCTCTCTTTCTCTCCCAAGGCGTTGTACACCTTGCCGTGCTTCACAAGCCACGACTCGTACATCGTCATGACCTCACCGTCTGTCCTCAAGTACGAAAAAGATTTCTCGCCGTGGTGTTCGTCGTAGCTGATGATCGACATATCGAGCGCCGATGACAAGACAAAGAAGGCGAACAACAAAAGGGTAGCCATGGAAAGGTACGATCTATGGAAAGTCATCTCTGTTCACCCCCTCTGAAACTGGGTTTTTGGGTGTTGTGGTGTTGAGGATAGAGAATGAAAACGGTGGGCGAGAGGAAGGGGAGTTATAAAGGCAATGAATGATAAAGGGAACAGGGGGGGTGGGTAGTGTAAATAAAGGTTAATTTGAATAAGAAAAGATACTCATATACGTAATTTCTTGTAGTAAATAAAACGAGGAGAAGTTCTTTAAGGAATTTAAAAAGACCGACCTGCAAATTCAGAAGGTGGGAGGAAGAAACCATGTGGATGAGATGCGATAGGTGGAAATGAGAAGCAGGCAGGAAACAAAAGAGGAGAGAGAGAGAGAGAGAGAAAGAGAGGGCACTGACCAACCAAGAAAGGAAGCTGGGGGGTGGGAAGTGTTAAAACTTAAAAGTCCTCAAGTGTGGCCATAGAAATAGGAGGTGTGAGAATGGTCGTGTTTTGCGCATGTAATGAGTGGGGGTTAAAAGCGTGACCCGTCCTTTGCTACTCTAACCGTGGACTAGTGTCCTTGTGACTCACCTTGCCACCGACTCTTCCAATGGTCCTGAGATTTACTATTAATTCACCTTTAGTTTTTAAAATTTTAATTTTATTAATTTAATCCTTAAAAGTATACCTTACATCAATTTGATATTTGATACTAACCAACATTCAAATAATAAATAAAAAATATAATATTACATAAAATAATAATAAATAACCATATTATATTTTTCATAAAATATAAAAAGGTGAACGGTATGTTATTGAAGTTTGGTTGTTAAACTTGATTAATTATGAGAGGGATTAATTAACTTAACTTAATTGGGGTTTGATTCTTATCTCTATAGTAAGGAACGAATCAGAAAGGGCCACGTTACAGTTTTTAATTGGTGGCCACGAGAAGTGGGGAGGCAGCAAATTTTTCATGCCCTTGTCTTTTTTAAAGTGGAGGGCCCCACTAAAAGGAGTTGTACATCAATTATTTCGCCCACGTCGACGTCGTTTTCAGTATCAGTTTCACACTATGGACGAGACAGCCTAATTTTATTCTGTACGGCGTCTTGCACAGAGAACTTACTTGTCTTGTGTACGCTCACACAAAAGAAATTTCTTGGAAAATTTAAATACAAAAAAAAAAAAACTTTAGAAAGTGAAGATTTTAATTTGAGTAATCATATTTTTTTTTCTCGGAAGAGATCATGAGAATTTATTAGTGCGTGTGGTATTTTCAATTTGAGTTATAATTACTAACGTAGAAAGAAAATTTGTCACCATATTACTATTAAAATTAAGTAATAAATCGTGTTGTTCTCATAAATTGAATTTTATTTGATAATTATATAAAAGTCAATAACAACCCTAAACGAGTACGATATAGTACTAGACCACTAATTTGAGTGATTGAGTAATCATAGTTGGCCACTAAACTTAGCCTCCAATTTTAGTTTGATTTTTAATTTTTTAATTATTTTAATTTAATCTCTCAAATATCAATTATATCTTAATTAAATCAATGCTAAAATAGATCAGATTTGACTAATCTCTAATCGATCTAACAACGAAAATTGATGAACATACTTAATGGAGACAAACTGATAATTGAGAAACTAAATTATGATAATTAAAAGTTCAGATACTAAACTGAAACGGAAGCAAAGTTTAGGAATCAATTTATAATTTTGGTATTTTGAGGTCCTAAAGTTTAATTGTTAAGGAATTTGATTTATACAGGTAGAATAATTATAATATTCAAAGTTTTGTATTTTAACCATTAATTTAAAAATTTATAATTGTCAAATTTGAATTATCGTGTTCAAATTAACAAGTAAAATGTATAAATTTAAAATTTCAATTCTATGTCCCATGTATCTCTTACTAAGATCTACCACGAGTATTTTAAAAAAAAAAAATCATAATTTGATCCTAGTGTCACATGTTTCACGACAATTCATAAGTCTAATTGTTATTATATTATCATCCAAATAAGTTTAACGTATCAAAATTAAATTATATATGTTTGACACAGATACCCACTCATCTTATTTGTTATTCATATTATTAAAGTATGTCATTTTCAAGTTCATATAATGAAAATTTGGAGTTGGAAGTTGTTTCGAAATTTGCTACCTTATCTAAGAGAAGTAATTGTATTCATATGACATACTTATGCCTAAAATAAAATTATTATACATTTTCTTATTAATAATGCAAATATTTTGCAACTGTGACAAATCTCACCCTTTAGTTATATTGAAGGGCAAGAGAAGTAAGTGAAGTTTGCCCTATATTTAACCATTATTTATTTATGGTCCAAAACTCTTATTAGGGTGTGTTGAGATATGCATTAGGATTTGATTGGATTAGAAAACTCCATTCATTTTATATGCATCCAATTAGAGAAGAAAGTCAAATTCAAAACTCATTCCTCATCCACCCATGTTTGGTGAAGGTATTGAAATGTAGTGAGTTCACATTTATCTCTTATAACACTTTGTTTGAATAAAAAATTGAAGAACGAATAGTACTTAAAAAAATTCAAAATTCTTACTTTGCACTCTGAAAATTTTAATTTTTTACGTTGCATTCTCAATTTTTCACATCAACCGTTGTTTGGTTAAAATATTGAAAAGTATTGGGTCACATTTATCTTATACGACACTTTGTTTGAATAGGGAATTGAAGGACAAATTACACTATCTATCCAGAAAAAGATTTTAAAATTTTCACTTTACACTATAAATAATTTAAATTTTTATATTACACCTTTAATGTATCAAAAATATTGCAATATGATTCTTTTATTATGTTTTATTAGTTTTTTTTTTGTTAGTTTCAGTAGATTTGCTTTTGACAAAAAATGAAAAAAAAAAAAAAACAAAAGTTAGCAGAATAATTGAACATGGTGTAAAATATAAAAAAGTCCAAAATTGACCAATGATGTAACCATTAAAATTACTAAAGAAACCCCGAGTTAGTCAAATCCAGGGTTTCTTAGGAATAAAAATATTTTTCACTTCAATAATATTATAAATGAATTCATTTAACCCATAAAATAGGTTGGTTTAATTTAAAAGGTGTATGTGAAAATATTAATACTATTCATGTTGGCCTTAATTATTTTTAAGTGATAGTACCGAATTCAAATTATGTAGTCAAAGTTGAAAATAAATGAGATAAGTTGGGCTCGAGGGTAATTTAATCCATTGATACCAGTGTTGGTATTGGAAAGTGTGAATGAATTATATAGTCAATAATTAATGCTTATTAACTAAGGTTATTCCGTAGCCACATTTTTTTTTTTATCAACTCTTTAATTAGATAGATGTGTATCACAAACTCCAAGTTTAAGTGAAAATAAGAACGAATTATAAATTCACATACGCTGAGTTTAAATTTTAATAATTTTTTAAGGCCAAACAATAAGAAATTTATATTCTCATAAGTATCTTTGTTCCAACGTGGATAACATACGTTTAATTAGATAGAAGAAATAATTAGTCAAAATATGTATAGAATATTTTCAACCGATGAAAAAAAAAAAAATACTAGTTGTCTATCATGTTACTTTGGGTTCACCAACCATGGGTAACATGTTGTTCCTCGTTTCTCCCAATTCACTATAAAGTCTGGATCGACCCGCATTAAAAAAAAAAAAAAAAAGACTTATTTTTTATTGTTTTGCTCAAAATAACCAAAAAAAAATAAAGAAAGAAAATGGTATTCCTCGTGATCCCTTTGTCCCACTTTGCCACTTGCCCAATTTTTAATTTAATCAAATTGATCACCATGATATGATGCACATGGTAGGAATTGTTAAACAAATACAACCTCAATCCCAAGATATATTTGATTCAATATCGCTTCAATTAAATCTTAATAACATTTCTCAAAGTCAAGTAAATTAAATATAAATAATTTTATTTTTACTTTTACACCATTTCTCCCCTCTGAAACACAAACTTTTTAGAAATAAAATCACATTTTGTGGAAGTAAATGTTTTATATTTTGGTCGTTCTGCTAATTTTCTGTCAGTATCAATGGATTAGCTTTTGATACATTAAAGGTGTAATTTAAAATTTTTATTATTAGGGGGAGCCAAGTAAAAAAATTAAAATCGTTCGGGGTATAAAATACAAAAAATCCAATAATTTATTTACCTTTTTTATACCCAAAAAAGCAAAAAATAAAAATAATAGGAATTAAGCTTTTGTTGCTTACTTCTCCTATATCTTTCTTTTGTTTTATAATATGTCCACATCATATTTAGTAAAAAAAAACACATAAACCAATTGATATAACAAGGGATGGGGTCCCCTGAACCATCGGATGGAGTATTAATGAATCTTCACTTACCATTGATTTATAAAAGGCCAATTTCATGATGGGCATGCCAAAACTACCGTCCATCTTTGAAAGATTTATTGGTTCAGTTTGGATAATGACGTGTTTGGCAATGAATAACAGAGTAATAAGATATTTTCATTGATTCCGAATATATTTTATTAGGGTAAATTACATTGACATCTTTTACTGTTTCTGATATTTTTATTGTACCCCCGTTTTTTACACAACTATACTGACCTCCCCCTAAGATGTGACAGATTGCAACAAATACCCTTCAAGCAAAAGATCTAAGGTCTGTCGTGAAGCAAACAAATTTTTTGACTTTAACTTTTTATTTTGCCCTCAAATTTTAAAAATAACTGTACATGTTACAAACATTCCACAACAATAGACATTCTTATTTACAAAAACATAAAATTTTTTCGGTGACATATGATAGGTCAAGCCCAAGGATCCAACTCATATTACAAGTCTAATTACTCAACTTCAAGAGGTCTAGTTAGTCAAACCCAAAGGAGTTTGCACCTGGTCAAGTTTATCAGGTGCATGAGTTACATCAATAGAGAAGCACGAAGGGATATCCCAAGAGCCTTCTCTATCACTTTGGAGTAAGGGTCATCCAAGAGTTTCATCCTTGCCACCTTGAAGTAAGGATCATCTAAAAATTTCCTCTACCACTTTGGAGTAAGAGTCATTCCAAAAACCTTATCCAATCCGCCCTGAAAGAAGTCAAACCTCACATAATCCTTTGATCGAGTTTTATGGAGAATATTGTAACTGACTCGCCTGCTGAGAAAAAGTCGCCACCTCTATCGAATCAACTTTTTAATTACTATTAAATCACTTCAAACCGTTATGACCGCTAGACTAGCAATTAAATTATTATACATTATGAGGCGACTATAAATTGTAAGTCCCCACCAACACTTGGGGGCAGATCACACTTGTTTGAGCATAATTCTCTTCTCTCCCTCTCATGGCTCGTAACTCTTTGCTCTCCCAACACACCGAAGTTAATAAAATTTCAATGGTCTTTGCCATTTTAAGTGGACGTAGATCACCTTGACCAAATCACTATAAACTTGGTCTCCTCT